AATTGGGGTCCACATGAAGACCAAGACATGAAGAGCTTGCACAACTCTACACCTCCAAAAGGCAGGATTAGAGGCCTATTGACAAAAAAAAGTCCTCTATCACCCCCTAATGACATTCTGTTAATCTAGGTTTTCAGTGAGGAAATGTGTCAGCCAAATGCATAATGAATTATTTGTAAGTAATTTAATCTGGAGAGCTTTGTTCCAAAATCATGTAAGGCTCTGTGGTTGTAACAAAGCGTTCAGGACACAACTTATTTTAGGAATTAGCAATATGCTTTAGGCAGAAATCTCAATTTGTAAATACTGCATTCTGGCCCGGCAGATTTCCTTCCTGATAGACCATGACCACTTCATAATTCTAGGGCAAAACCATGAAGATTAATAAAAAGCAGAAAGAGGATTTTAATCAACACAGCCAGCTGGTCTGTGGTTTAGATTATGTTGTGGAAGGGAAAGTGTAACATTAAGACTGAATGAAAAATGCAAAGCACTGATTACCCCGCAGAGTATCTCTACCAGCTAAATTAACATTAAACTCAAATTTGCAAATCCTGTGCTTATATTACTGTGTGTAGGCAACTGCGATATATTTAACCTCAACTAGAAATTAAAACATCTGCCTTTAAAATAATTAGATTTGTTTTAAATACTGTTCGTAAAAGTCACTTTCTACCCATTACTAAGAAGATGACCTATTTTAAATCTCATTCTTTAAAAGTATTGTAACAAGTCCCTGGTTTTGGAGGAAGTAAAGCAGGACACAGGACGGCTGGAAAGCAACTGGTGAGGAGAGAGGAGAGGGAGCCCACTCAAAACCCAGGAGCAGGAAGATGAAGGCTTTTCCAATGCAGGGGCACACAGCCAAAGGACGGGAGCTGTGTTCTGCGGGGGAACAGCTCTGGGTGCCTGGGAGAAGGTGGCTCCTTCTCTGGGAGACCGACCTGGAGCTGCACTGCTGCTCCTGGCCGGCAGATGTAGGCTGCTGCCAGCTGCTGCAGGGTGGAGGGAGAAGAGGGGAAGTAAGCTGGCTGGGCCTGGGCCAAGGAGCAACAAAAGGCCTGTGTGCCATCCACGGCGGCCTGCCCCGCCGGCTGCACGGCCTGCAGAACACCATAGCAACCAGGGTTAAAATTGGGTCAGGATTGCCTGTGTGAGACCTGGGATTTTGAACACAGGGCTTAGGCTTGTGCAGAATATTTGTTCATGTGCTGTTTTTACAGAAAACACACTATCTGGGGAAGGTGGAAGGGGGAGAGGAGACTATGAGGACGCCAGTGCCCCAAGTACTGCGAGTGCATGAATTTTCTCTTTTTAACCTACACTGCACCTGGACAAGACACACTAGGATAACTAAAGTGCCTTAACATGTCCCAGACCTCACTGCTGCTCTCTCTGTGCTCAATGAATCCCATGTCCTGAGTCTTGCTGGAGACCACTGAGGCTGGGCAAGGCAGGTAGTACCAGAGCTTGGCCACTCCGGGCAGCGTCCTGGGCACATCAAGCAGGCTGCTCGTGCCTGCTACTGGAATGCGACCACCACTTGGCACTCCCCAAAGCTTAGAAGGAAAGGCAGCAAGTCAGTGGACAAAATGTATGTCATCTAGGATGGGGATATGCTTATGCCTCAGCCTTTCCTTAGGAAGCACTGATCTTTCAGCCAAATGATTTTGGGAGTGTGGGACATAGGCAGCAGCTGCTACCTTGGGTATTATTTGGTGGTTTGCTGATGTTAATTAAAATTACTCATTCCATAGTGAGCAAACACTCCCATTTATTAGAAAAATATAACAAATACTATGCACACATAACAGCGAGGGAGAGGGTGTGAAAAATGTAACCATGCTTTTACCGTAGACACAGTAGCAAAGTTTTATGAGTGAGCAACGGAGCTATGAAGTGGCCACCACTGGTGGCCCCAGAACTACAGAGGAGCAAGACTGAATCCCAGCCTCCTTAGAGTCAAAGATGTTACTGAAAGCTCTGGATCTACAAACTAAAGCTTCCCAAGCATCCTATTTCAAAAAGCATCATCTAGTTTATAAATTATGATTACTTTTCTGTGTATCTTGAAACTAGTTTCTGTACCTACAATGAACTGATTTATTTTAAACATACTCTTGTACTCAGATCAACAGAAAGAGTAAACCTGATCTACATTGGGTTTTCATTTGCAGTTGGATTCTCAGGTTCCATCTATGCACTGGATTTGTAATCTAAGAAGCAAATTACTCCCAAGTGAGCAATTTCTCACACTGTGGGCAGAATTTAACTTGCTAACAATTCTTAATGCAAGTATATTTCTGATTCTAGAAAGCAAGCTAAGATTCTAGAAAAACGTAGATAAGCAGAACTTGATCAAAAGCTCACCTCCAGGTCTCCCTTCAGGCTTGTGCTGTGCAGGACTCCAGACTCAGCTTTGGGGTTGCTAGTTTCACATGTCATCTCACCAAGTTAACACGAGTAGAATCAAAAGTGAGAAAACTCATAGGCTGGGATAAGGACAGTTTAAAAGCTAAAGCAAAACCTCTGTGTGCATGCAAAGCAAGGAATTAATTCACTATTTCTCATCACAAGCAGGTGTTCAGCCATCTTCAGGACCACAGGGCTCTGCACTTTTGGACCTGGTGTATGTGAAATCCCAGGTTAATAGCAAGGTTTTGCTTTTTTAACTAGGCTAAACTTCTAGATGGAAAAACAGTGTGTTCAGGGATGCTCAGGGTTCTGTTACACTACTACTGTTTTCTCCTGGCTGCCCGATCCACTAACCCACCCAGTGGCAACCCCAGTACAATATAATTTCTGTCACAAAGGGACAGAAGTCATCTGATTCACATTTAAAATGGTCAAAACACCACTGTTCACATGTCCTCACATTTTAAAAAGTCTTTCAGCTCATTGTCATCCACAGATTTTCTCAGGAGCCTGAAGACTATTTGTCATAATTTTTCTAGTGCCAAGGATTTTATTTCTGCCAGCTCCTCCCTAGCTTTTGCCAAGGTGGACTTTTGTTACTTTGGACACGTTACAACACAGCTTTCATACAGCAACTTGTCATCTTAAATCTGAATAAAATCTTCAAGAGTACCTTACTAAAAATGTATGACAGCAGTAAGGAACTTGTTGAAAAATCTTGAATGGGCAAAATAATGTGTAATAAAATCATCACAAGCTTTTTCACAAAGAAAATAGTTGCTTTCCCCCATGCCTCTCACCCCAGACTCTAATCACAGGAAGTTTTCTGATGACAGGAAACACTGGGAGCTTATGTTCTTCTACTGCAGTGCTCTGTGCCACTGAGAAGAGTATTTCAACCCAGAACAGCGTGAGGAAAAACAAGTCAGTCTAGAAAGGTACATTTTTTGTTCAAAACACACATGAGTTACCATTTGTGAACAGGTGACACTTCTTAGGAATTAACTTCAAGTATGGACCATAAAATACTAAAGGCACAAACTTCTGATGTTTTTGGGTCCAGAGTTCCAAGTCCAGTGAGTCTCTGGGATATTAGAGAATGAAGGATTTACATCATAATTACTGCCCAGGAAAAAAAAACAACAAACCCAAAACAAAACCTAACCCTTATATGTTTAAGGTGACTCACTCTTAAGTGAGTCATTTAAGGCAAAAAATCCATGGACACTGCAGTTAACCCCAACTGAAGCACATACATCTAAGAAAATCAGTGAGAAGGTCATCCTTAAAGGAAATCCCAAAATAGTGACAACAAAAATGCCCAATGAAAGCACAGAAACAAATTAAACTCTCCCATCACGTTGTCAGACAATAAATATGCAGTTAAGACACATTGGTGTTTACAAAGACTGTGGTCAGCTCTTTTTTATAGATTAATTTTGCTTCCTAATGTTTCCCTTTCACTGCTAAATAAAGAATTTCATTCAGAGTAAGGTTGTTCAAATGTAACTTTTACATTATAAATCTTCAAAAGCCTACAGTCTCTCCATTATATTTACTTTCTCTTTACACAAAATGAATGATTGTTCCAAACATACCCCACAACGCTCTTTATACTGTACGTGGTTATTACATCTGTTTTCCTTCTGTCTGAGCAAGTAATGTGAAATTTCATTCAAATAGCTTTCCATTAAAAATGTATTTCCTAAATACAAACAGAAAGATTTCTCCCATGCAAGTGCGTATCCACATCCATTCTAGAAAGCCACGCAGGCAAGACATTCTTCTTCTCCAATGTTTCTGTTCTTTCATCACACTAGCACAAATCATAAACACCATGGAAAAATAAACAAACCTGAATTTAGGAGTAAATAGTTCATTCCTGGTGTACAGTTCAAAAAAAAAAAGGTAGCTGAAACATATCTCGTTCAAACAGCAGCAGCATCATCAAATCACACAACTGTAACGGTAATGATGGTACTGCTTTCTGAAATGGACATACTTACACAGACCAGATTTGACCTGTTGTTCTCTAACTTACAGAACTTATTTTAGAGGGCATTTGCACAGTGCTATATTTCTCTCTCAAAGTTTTGTTTGGTTTTTGTTTTGTTAGTGAAAAAAAATAGATCTATATATAAATAAAGGGCAGCAAAAACCAAGAGAAGGTATATGCCTGTAGGACAGAAGTAGGTCTCCTGACTGCAAATGACATTTTATTATCTTACCATCTTCTGAGGACTGGAGTGTATCCCAGCTTAGTGGGGCTCCTACCCATTTGTTCTTGTCTGCTATATGTACCATATCATATAACTTCACGGTGATCAATGGGATTATTTATTTACACATCACATACTCCAGTGCCTCATGTCCTTTTAGAAACAGTTCCTGAAATTTCAGAGCTACAGTTGTTGTCAAATACTTTCTTTTTCTCCTTTGTTTTTAATTTAAAAGTAAAACAAACAAGAAGTGCCATGCAACTCAGCAAGAGGTTTAAAAAGATATCCAGGGCCATTCACAAGTCTTTTTTTCATATCAAGTGCTTCATTGTCTTTTCCCCAAAGAACAGAAGGATCAGCAACATTTTAGTTACACTGCCGATAAAAATAGAAGTAGTAATCAGTAAAAAACATTCCAGCAAAATAAGGATCTGTCGAGCAGTCTGCAAAACCCTGCAGAAGAAAAATAAAGGAGATTCATATAGGATCTTCTCTCAGTTCTAATGCTATTTGCCTTTTGCTGTGTTGCCATTTGGAAAGGCTTACCGGTGCAGCTACACGGAAATAGTATGCGCTGTCATACAGTTTAGCTACAGGGAGAGTCCAAATATGCTGACGTCCCTAGATGATAAATGAGAGAGAGAGATTAGATAACCTTATTTCACATTAAATTGGAGAGAAGAATAGGCTCTGGAAACATTTCATTGATAAATGCAGTGCAAAGTAATTATGATAACAAGACTTGATAGCTACAGTCAGAGTATTTAAAGACAAAGTGCTGACTTTAAACCCTGCAAAATGTGGGTTTGCTCTGATCAGCTCTGCACAGGAACTGACAGACATCTGGCTCCCAGCGACACTCGGCTGGCTCTGAATACCTGAACTCCCTCTCTCGTTTTCCAAGCAAATCCCACAAGAAATAGGGATTGTTCCTGATGTGCCAGATGGTCCGAGAGCTTTAAAGTGTAATAGTAGCAAATGGCAATTCTGCTGATTTTGAAACAGCATTTGTAGTAGTCCTCAGAAGGCAGTGAAAGTTTCTCTATATAGTCTAAAGATAAGAGTAGCATCTTCACTCAGTATTTCAAAAGCAGACACAGGCAAGGTTTCAAGCTGATTTTGATTGCAGTACCCTGCCATGTACAAATTAAATAACATATTTTGTATCTGAAATGTTTATGCTACAATAAATAAAATAAAATTCAATCCTCACTTCTTTTTGACCTAATGATCCATGGTAACTTTTATTTCATCGGTTTCTACTGTCTCAATTTCTTCATCTTTCCCTCCTCCCTTCACTTCCTGACACATTCTCTCTGTTCATGCAATAGAACTTATGTGAGACTGCTGAATCCAAATGATTGCTGTCCTGTCCTTTGGCACAGAATAAACCTTCCAGTACCTAGGAAAATCCTCATAGAAAAAAAACCTCTTCAAGTAGCCAGCATTTCTGTTCTGAGTCACATCAAACCTGAATGCTCACTGCTGCTGGTTAACTTTAGTCTTTTGATGTGGATTTCAGGTTGACACAAGAAATCTCTTTGACCAGTTTAGGCAGTAAGCTTCAAGGATATTTTGGCATTGCAAAACTCTCTGGATCTGACTTAATTTTAATTCTGCTGGAATTACGGCAGACAGGTCAAAACTTGGACAATTTTGGCCTTCTGATGGTTTTGCAGCAGTATCAGAGAAGGCCGCAACTTTTTGCGACGACATTTGAAAGTTCACCAGAAACTCAGCTGAAGGGTGGCAATATCCCAACTGCTCTAATTTGATAAAGCACCAAAAAAGTTATTTGAAAACAATTAAGAACATATCATATATAGCACCATAGATCAGAAACCTAAAGACTCTGAAATGACTTCCAGCTTCACAGAGGTTTCTCCTACAACATGGTCAGAAATGCTACTATCCTTGCTTCTGCCTTTCCTTCTGTTTTAGCCAGAATAAACATTTCCAAGCAATGTGGACAAATCAAGGCCTTGAAAGAGTCTTATACTTCCAGAGAATTTGAAGGGAGTTTAAGGTTTTCATCAATTTACTGGAGATGATCAAAATCTGCAAGATGTGGTCTCTGAATATTTTTTTACTGGGAGAAGCTAACATGTTTTAACAGATTTTATTCCCACTGAGGCAATCCAGAGAACACTATGTAAACAAATCTTGTTTTCACAATGAAGAATTTTCCCTAGAGAGATTTAGTGGTAAACTGCTGTTCACACAGAAGTAAAGGGGCATACTACCATTATTTCCAGTTAATTCAAGATTTAAAAACTGAAAGCCATTACCCATAAGACAAAAATAGAAACAGTAGACTAGATGAGAGTTTGGAGGACACTACCTCCTATGGCTCTGGGTGAAAAGTGCTCCCGTTTCTTAAGTATCTCTGGAGATATAAAGAGGTTTAGTGGTGAGTTAGGCTGAAGTAGACTAAAACCATCCTTGTAGAGAGTCACTAGATAAATTTTTAGAAAAGTCAGCAGAAAACTGACTCATGCGGAAGGTTGCATCTCATTATGGCCGTGCCAAACCCAGCTATGACTGGCAGACTTAAAGTACCATTTGGATTTCTGCTACCTTAATCAAGATCAGAATGTCATAGCCATTAATTTTATAAAAATGATCCCCACAAGGCAGAGTATTGCTGCAAAAATCTTACCTGCGTGGTTTCTAGGAAATTCTCCCTGCTGTTTTTCCTCAAAGAATAACTGAAGCAATAATTTCCAATTGTGACTTTGCAGAGAAATACAATTAATGGTTCTGTGGTGCTTCAAGAAACAGAAAAACAAGAATCTAACCCATTGCTTTTAAATAGAAGAAGCATATATAACAATACAATATGCATGGGGGGGAGGGTGGAATCTGAAGTATTGAATTGTGGAAAAATAAAGCAGAGGATATGGTTGATAAGAAGGAGATAAACCTAAGCTACCAACATCTAATCTGGTCCCATTCCCTCCCACTGATGGAGGTTGCTTTTTATTTGGAAACCTGGGTGATCTTTACAGTTAAGATAAATCTAGAAATATACACTAAATTTCCTCAAAAAGCATTTTCATACCAGAAGATAATGTATATGACTTTTTATACAAATTAATGGTCATCACATGCTTGAGTTTTATGGCTTACCTCATGCATAGGCAAAATATACCTGTGCCAGAGGGTACCTGGACAACTAAACACAACATCAGTTTCATGGGTGACAAGCCCAGAATAAGTCTTATAAGGACTTATATAAATGACTCTAATTTACCACCTTACACATGCAAATGTATCACTAAAAAGAAGTAAAAATATCCCAGACTTTATCTGGGAAAGCAGTGGTAAACAGAATTTAATTCAGAACTCTTCAACAGCAAAGTCCCGTGGTCATACCTTCTCCAAACTATCCCTAGAGAGAGTTTCCAGCACTTCCTAGCTTGCCAGATGGCTTTTCTGAGAAGAGTATAAACAAACAAACATGCCTTGGGCATCCAAAGGAACTCAGATATGGCAATGGCTAGCCGAAAAAATGAAAGCAGAAGGTGGGGAAAAGATTACTTAAATATTTACAGTTTATGCTGTGAGGAACAATGGAGCACTCCCAGCAAAATGTGCTTTCACAACCTTAACGAAGTATTTAAGAAATAACAATTTTAAAGCATATTATTCATGCATGGCAGATTCCTTGTCCTAGATGGACTGCAGTGCTGTGTGTTGGTTTCATTTGACTGTATTCAGCAGGCCTAAAACTTTTCCAGCTTTTTGAAGTAGTTACAGTGTCTTACAACATTTGGACACAGCAATAATCCAAAAGATGTTTGGGATTTCTTAAGCATTTTTGGTTTTGTTAAGCTTGTGGTTTTGTTTAGTAAAAGTTTATATCAAAGGTATATATTGAAAATCACCCTCCCAGCAAACCACAAATCAACATCCTAAATAAATTCAGCACCTGCACCAGTGAAACTCTGAGTATAACATGGGAGGATTGCATTATTAGTTTATAATGGCATACACTTAAAAGACAGATTCTCAGTTGTTGTAGAAAACAAGCAGGCACCACAGGAGTTCTGTTATATTTCCTCTTATCTGAAAAAGACGGATGTTTACAACTATAATATTCAAGATCAAAAGACTGGACCTAAAGACCATAAATTCACAGAGCCCTTTCTTGGAGAGACTGGAGTCATAAAGTGTCATCAAGCAGCTGTGCTGGCTATCGCTGGCCTTCCTCAGAGAAGAACCCCAGAAGAAAGGATTTGTTACTTCTGGGAGAACACAGTGGAGCTAGACTGCTATTTGTGGAGAAAGTATCTACTGAGTGGAATAAGTTTGCTGCTTATTCCCACTGTAAGTCACAATTTTATGTATTACCAGAGATTCCTGCACAAAAATCCTCTTTAACAGTGCTTGGCACAACAGGCCAAAAAAGGTGTTCTCTGGAACTATATATATATATGTTCTGATTAATATTTCTCTACATCAAAAAACCTCAAATCCCTAGTCCACAGGTCAGAATCCTACTGATATATGCATACATGTCTGCTCAAATGATCATTAGACTGAACCTTAAGACTACTGGATTTTAATATGTGCATCAATGGGTAAAATTGTCATTTGCTGAGAGTGGTATTGGGCCTATGCTACATCAAAGGATCTACCCAAAGGTCTACAGTAAGGACTTAGCTGTGCATAGATTTGTCCCACTCCTCTAAACAGGGACAAATTCACGTCACAATAGAAATCAGGCAAGAATTACTATTTTAAAAAAATGCACCACTGTCTTGTTATGTGTGCATTATCTTTAATTGTACTTACTTTATTTCCAGTGAGATTTCTACATTCATGGGTGTATATTTGTTAACAGGAATAAGATAGCTGTAATTTCCAGACCTGAAAAAGGTGGCATTAATGCATATAAGAATTTGGTATTTGTAAATACAGAAATTGCATTATTTATTTCTTTTTTATAAATTACACATTAATGATATTCTATTCCAGCATAATAAAGCATAATAAAATTATTTACCTACCTGCACTGTAGATTTTTACTGCAATAGCGATTGTCAATGCTTTGCTGAGTTTCCAAAATCTGTATGGAACTGATTGTTGTATCAATCCCTAAAAATATTAAGAATAATGTTTTCTTCTTGATTATTTCAGAAATCTTAGATAAGAGCATAATAAAGTTGCTGTTAATACAGTAGTATGTACCCCCTTGCTTGCTACTACAGGAGTTGCTACAGGTCTAAATTAGTGCTCAATAAAAAGCCTTTTTTGGGTTCCATTACAGGGAAGATAAGATCCTTGTTCAATTTACAGTGACAAATATCCTGGGCAGCATCTAGTGTCATAACGTTTTCTTTTGGGCAGTCCATAGTTAGGACCTGCAACATCTCAGACCCCTAAACCAGCCCAATTCAGTCTGAGCTGTGAAAGGCTCTCAAACAGAAGGGGCTGAACAGGTTTCATCCTCCCAAGTGGACCTAGGCTCACACTGGTCTAGGGAAGGCCCAGGTGGGGAGGAAGCATGTGAGCCATCAGCAGATAGCCGGACTCCAGCTGTTGCCTACAGCATCAAGCTGCTGATATTTTAAATCTTACAATGTGGTGCAGAAACCGTAAGGACAATGTGGATCAGTAGGCCCAAGCCTGCTCTTCACCTCGCATTGTGGACACTGGTTTTGTGTTTCTGGTCCTCTGCTCTACAGCAACAGTTCCCTGCTTTGTAAAGAAACCTGATGATGATAGGCTGACCTGTGCTCTGATTATAAAACATCTGTGTGGTAGCATATACTTAACTTTCAGCCTGAAAATATCCACATGTATGCTTAAGTGGCAGAGGGAAATGGAGCATATTTATCTCAAAGAGCTAGCACAGGAGAACATTTCCCTCTGACACAGCATCTCAGTACCACACTTATCATAGTAATGCCGTGGAGGCCCTTTCCTGAGATGTGTAGCCGTGTAAAAAAAAATCAGAAGGGGAATGATTTTTCCCACATCATCTCACTGGGACATGCCCAGGCAACAAGCAGAACCTGTGTTCTGTTTCTCACATGGCCCTGTGTAGCAACTTGCTTTAAGTGCATGCCAGTGTATAGATGTTTTATCATCCTAATCTTGTCTAATTTTAATCGAACACTTACCAAAAAACCCTTAAAACAGGGCATCCACATAAACAGAAAAGACAAGGCATAATCCTACTTACACTGAATGAATGCCAGAGCATACCATTATAACATGGGTAATCAGCAGATACTAATCTTCATGGAAAATAGTCCATATTTTTAGCCCAGACTGGCTCTGACAGCAGTGCACAGTCACTAAAAGGGGAGCCTGAAACCAAGTCAAATGTGCTGTGTTGAAGAACTTAATTTCATTGCCACTGATGCAGACAGTGTCAGGATCCTAAGGCAGAGATGTCCCCTTTCAGCAGCTGATGTTTTTAATCCAGTAGGTCAACTGGGCCAAATCCCAAACACTCCCTTTACTCTGTATCATGCATTTCCTGCTCACAAGCACCACACTCGTATGCTTAAGCATTTTGTTGTATAATGGTTAGCAGTGTTGAGGCACCTCACAAGACTTCAGCCCCTGACAAGGAAATGTCATTTGTCATTTTATTGCTCCTGAAGCCAAGTCTAAGAACTCTCAAGGGAGGGCAGCCAGAATGCCCATAAAAATCTAATGAAGATGTAAGAATAAATTGCAGTGCAAGAAAATTATAGTGAACCACAGGTATTTAATAGATTTCTAAGTGCTAATTCTCTATGATGACCAGTTATAAATGAAACTTCTCTAAATTCCAGCATCAGAATTCCAGTTTAAAAGTTATACAGTTATACATTTCAACAGTTTTGCTTTTTTTTTTTTTAAAAATGAGACTTACAGTCATTTCCAAGATCAGGTCTTCTGTTAGATTTTTTAGCGAGATCTTTTTCGGGTAACATGTTACTTTTGTTTCCTGTGAAAGGAGGTACGTATAAATGTCTCCAAGTTAGCCTTGCACACTTTTAACAGCAAAATATGAATACAACACCAGAAGATGTTTTGTTAACAAACGTTAAAAATGCCTCAAGCATGCATAACCACAAGAGAAATCTTTAAAATACAAAGCATCACTATTCAGAAGACGAAGTATATGGTCAAAAGAAGTTCGTAGATAACAAGAAACAAGCTTTTGAAATTCTACAGTGTATCTGAAACATTTCAAAAAATAGCCTAATAGAAAAGATTTCATCTTACATGCAGAATTTCACCAATTGTTGTAACAGAGAGCCAAATTAAAATTCAACATCCAGTCAGGCACTTAAGCATAAATCTGATCATAAAGACACATCTTTCTTGTTAGTGAGAAAATTAACAAACAGGCATTTGCCACAGAAACATAGTCCACGAGAATCATTCAGCTTTTTGAATGTGAGATGTAAGACACTGAGGACTGACCCAAGTGAGACCCAGTACTTCAGAGAGAGAAGGATGAGTCACCAAATTAAAGAAACTAATACACAGCTCTAACAACATCATCACCAGGTTCACTGATGTCACCTCTGTAATTTCAAACATTGAACGAGGCTGGGAAATATAAGCTGATGATTTTTTTTTCTCTATTCATTTCTTCAGCATTTCTCTAGAAAAGTGAACTTTAAAAGATCTTTTGAATAATCACAACCTCAGGAAGGCAAGAGGCCCTTCAACCCCACGGGAAATGGTTTAAAGCTATTCCTGTGCTTTTACACTAACTGCCCACCAAGAATCTGTCCAGAGGCATGTTACCAATAACCTGGCACCGAGAAATGTTGATCTTGCCTAAACTAACATGCTTCATCAAATAAGATTTCATCTGGGAAAAAATTGAATCAGGTATTTCTAGAACACCAAAATGCACTGTTCCCACATTTTCCAACTAGATTTCAAAATTAATCTTTAGAACAGAAGTCACTGCTTCATTGTATAAAAATTTATTTTACAAAAGGGAGGACCAGAATGCATTATTTCACTGAGATTGAAACAAGCAGCTGGGTTGACCTTACTGTTTTATTACTCATTCCAGATTTTGGCTTTTGTTTCAGTAGTGGGAAAGATGAAAATTCAGACTTTCCTCATGCTGGTAGGTGACTGAGAGCATGGAACAACACAAGCAACTGGAGTCTGAGGACTCAGAAGCAGCATAATACAAAATCAGCTCTAGGATTTCTATAATTTTTGTGTTTTGTTATGAATCTCTGGTACTGCTGCCAGTTATTCCTTGAATCCATTTTCTATTTACTTGCTCATCATACCAGTTCTGCCAACTTAGGTGGTAACTGTCATATTTAGTACTAATCTGCTGCCCCATTTTTTTACACTGTGATGTGCTGCCACACACCCAGAAAAATGGCTACTTTATGCATGCAATCACTCACAGTAGGTCTGGAGGCAGATCTAAAAAAGACCTGATCAGTCTCTCATTCCTCCTTTTAATTTACAAACTAGATGTCACATCGTCCTTTCACTTTCTGCTGATTTCTCTTAATAGTCTAGATATGCCAGCAATGCATTAAACGTTCCCTGCCTTTTTGCACTTTCATTATCAGAGAATTATTCTGTAGGAAAACCTATACCCCCTGGAAAAGGTAAAAGATTCCTCACTGAAAGAAAGATGTTCTCCCTGTAGATACAAAACTTCAGCTGTGCAAGTATTGGTAGGCATATTTATTGCATACACTGAATTACTAAACATCTAATACTGTGATTCCTTGACAGATGACAAAGTATTAGGTGGATAACAAAAATCTATAAAAACTAGAGTGCAGACATATTTACTTCACTAAGATTTCAACTATCTAAACTGAGTCAGTAACCAGTACAGAAAATTGTTTTAACTTAATTTTTTACTCTTCATAAAATTACTGTTTCCTTGTCCTTTAAGCTGATGCAATCCAAGTGAAAGGTATAAAACAGGACCCTGAAGTTATTTTTATTTGGAGCTCAAGTTGCCAATTGAGAACACCGAGAACCATGAAAAACACTGTAGCAGCCTTCAATAAATTGTGGTAAAGTTTCATTCTGTCACATATGGTAACTCTGAGGGCTTTCTCAAGGGCCCATGTTGGGTGTGAAGATCCAATTCCGTAACAAATACAAAAATATGAGCATGACCAGAATGTAGTGAGGCTATCCATTATCTTCAAATAAGATTCAGATCAACTCATCTAATAAATTTGGTCTCTCTCCTTTTCCTCAAGCACTTTCTGCTTCTAATTCACATGAGTTTCAATGTTCTATAAGCAGTATGAAAAAAAACCTGCTGATGATTTCTTGTGGTAGTACCTTGCTATGAACCCATTAACGGCCATCTGAAGACAATAAATTGAAATGCATTAAGTCAACCAAAATCTAGCAGGAGCCCTCACCAAGAATTTATTGTGAGGGAGAGACGCCAGAGAGAAACAACACTCTAGGAGAAGGTACGGACAGTTACCAGTGACACTTAACGCAAAGGGGAGAGCAAGGAGAACTAAAGGCATGGAAGCAGAGAGCAGAAAAGGCCCAGATGCTGAAAGGTATTCACTCTCCTCCTTCCCACTGAAATCAGTAGGAGTTCAAAAGTCGAAATCCTTCAGAGAAACCAGTTCTTAAAACAAAGTATGAGGGAAAAGGCCACATTAAGCTGCACTACATAAAGATGTGCTGATTTTTTGTTTAATAAATTTCTCTTGCTTATGAATGCTTTTGTTTCTACTTCAACACTCCCAATAGCCTTCTCCTCAACATATCTGAAATGCAAGGAATTAGGTTCTACACTGGAGGCACTCAGTAGCAGCCTGCATTCTCAGAGTTCAGGTGTCACATGGGTGGAACAGTAAAAGGTCTGTTAAATATGAACTCCTAAATTAGCATTTAATTCAACTGCAATGCCAAATAGTTTTATCTTTCCATGAATCAGACTAATCAGCTGACTCTAAAATATCCACTGAGTATCTTGATTATTCCCCATATTTAACTCTTAGCTTTTTGTTCTGAAAGCATTTTCCTTTTCATTTATCTTGACTACAGCTACATTAAGCAGCTTGTTGCTTTTCCTTCTGTTTGGATTTCATGTTGACATTGTTACCTTCTGCCTGGGGATACATTCAGCTTCATTAAACTTGTGCAGATCTGAAATCTTTCAGTAGCTTGTGTACTGTGCTGATTTTTCACTCTTGGATCCACACTGAATGCTATTTGGAGCATAAGACATTGAGAAGGTAATGCTTTGTGTTTATTCTTATCTTCTCTTTCCACCTAATATCAAAAGCAGCCAGCTGGGTATAGAAGGTTTTCATATTCCATTTTCATCCGTCTACAGCTCCCTCATTTGTAAATGAGATTAATGTCTTTTTAATTAATCAACACTCTTTTAGGCTTCCAAACAATACAAATCACTTAGGTATGACGTCTCGAAAGCACGGTATTGAGCTGTATCTGCCACAGGGCTCACTGCAGCACTAATCACAGGAATCACAAAGACCACTCAGACGGAGCTTGTCTGCAGACAACAGCACTTTGCAGCATAAAGAATGGCCAGTGGCTGAACCCCGCTGAAACCGCTCATGTGGTAAGAGCATCCCAGCAATTGGCAACATCTGCCCTGGTAGACGTTTGTACTTCAGAGGCTGAACTGCATTTGTCCCTGATTTCACCTCAACTTGTCAGCTGTGGTTGGAGCAAGAATTGTTCCCAAGGCCAAAAAGGAAGAGTACAAATGCTGAGTTTAGTAATACTGAGTTTAGTAATACTAACACTTCCTTCTAGACATTGACAATGTCAAGGTTTGGGAAAGCAGAATCCAGATTCCAACAACATTTGTATACCTTTATGTATAAACCCTTTCTTATAAATATTACAAAAGTTGTAAGCAATACACCTATTCATCTATTACACACATAGCTTTTGGCGGACAATATCTGAGAGTAATTTTACATTTCAGTAAAAGTAAATTATTTCATGGAGCTCTGCCTTCAAATAACATTTATTTACTCAAAATCCCTGCCTGAATGAGCAGAGTTTTAATTCTGCTGTGTTCTCTGGCAGCTGAATTCCTATCTCTGCCCACAGAAAAGATGTAGTATCACCACACTGTGACACCATTAAATGTTTTGGGTTTTTTTACACGTGTTAATTCACCCTCCACTACCCTCAGTCAGCTCCTGGCCAACTGTAGCCAAAGGTTAATTAAAGGGATTAGTGGCTTTCTGGTTCACACAAAATCATTCACTATGAATGGCCAGGGAGAACAGTGACACCTGACAAAATGTCTTAGGACCCAGAACTCTTAAAGGTAACCAGGCCAGCTTTTTCAAAAACATATTGACTGCACTGATGATTATCCTGATATAACTATCAGGACTGTTTAAATCCTCTGGATTAGGCACTATTGTTGGAAGCTAACTAGCTTTAAAGATTCTTGCCCCTTCCCCCACATTCTTCATATAGTCTTTACTCAAGTGGTAAAAAATAGAAATTAATGTTTCAACTTACGTTTCTCCTTTGCATAGGTTTTGTCGTAACTTAGAGATTTGATTTTTTGTTGATGGATTGGACAACAATAGACCTTGTCACAAGGCAAAATGTCACAGAAATTCACTTCAGGGATCCTGCTGATGGTCTGAGAAATTGTGCTTTCCCCCTGCAATGCTAAAGGAAAAAAAACCAACATCATTCTCACTAGTGCTGTGTGTCTACTGGCATTTTATAACAGCACAGAAATTAAAAGCCTGTTACGTGTATGCAGACCAGCAGAGATACAGTACCTGCTGTAGTGGTAGAGGGAGGAAGTACAACAGAACTTGAGGTACTGCTAATGAAGAAAAACAATTCATTAAGAAATGGACATCAGAGTTGTGGACCAAAACAGATCAGTCCACAATCTATTATTAATTCTAATTTACTAACACTAATTTTACTACTTGCCTGTAAATTGGATGTTGTTCAAAATGTCTGTCATGGATGCTAAGTAAATATAGGGTCGATATTGTCAAAGCACTGTAGAAAGAGAATTATTATGCAGATTTAAATCCATCTCTTATATAACATACTATGAATAACAACCTTGAGAGCACCTTATGCATACATAGTAATGTAAAAGTTAACTATCGGATCACTTCCCCTTTTGTGGGAAAAAATTTGGCTGAATTTAATGGGTTTTAGGTCAAACACTTACATACAGCTAAAGTCAACATAAAATATGGTCAGGTTCCAATTGTAAATAGAATCAGAACACCAGTTAAAATTAATCAGTTCACGAAGAGATTGTAAACCACAGGTTTTTGGACTGGAAACAGAAATGGCAATCTCAAAGGTCCAGAGCGTAGTTTCCTTTCCACAAGCCCAAAGCCACAACTTAAACTTTCAGAGTGACAGGACTGTCCACCACACTGGGAACAAGTCCAGCTTCATTTCACACAACTGAATCACTCTGTACATCAGAAATTGCACTAAGGCACAGAATGATTGCACAAAACGTGCAGAGCATCACGAGTTCAGCTTTGGACCTGCAGCACAAGACACTGAGATACATTCAAGGTGCACCATACCTTGTGACATGGGCAGAGATTAGTAGTGTGTGCACCACGTGAGTATCTCACTTCTCTAAAACTATTTCAACTTCACAATATTAGCAGGCATATTTACTGTTAACTTTAATACATTGTGTTCTTTGAGTATGAAGGGAGAGAAGAAGAAAAAAAATTGCAATCTTTCTTCTGATGAAATATGTAGAAAGGGGAAGGGAGAAACAAGTCAACTTGTTGATAATTAATTGTTACCATAGTGCCATAATAGCAATCAAAGCTATTATAGTCACCCGGAAAATCTTCACAGGGCAAGACTCTCTCTTCTTTGACAAACAAACCTAAGGAAAAAAAAATGTTTGGTTAATTTAAGTGGCACATAACTAAGCTACATTTAGTGGATTAAGAAATACTACACTAGTCTGACTTTAAGTTAACTTAGTTTCTTTCAGAGGAACCATACAAGTCATCCTTATATAGGGGTCAACACCTAAAGAGAAAAACTTCAGTAATGAAAGGCTCCACACTTTTGATAGTATGAAGACAGAAACATTACACAGGAAGAAAGGGTGGCCAAAGATAACAGCTCCTTCTGTTCTCTTTCTGCTATTTTTCATACTCCTGTAGAATTTCAAAATCAAATTAAGAACTCAGTAAGCAGTGGCCAGAAGTAAAAGATGAGCAGCTTTCAGTATATGCCTTGACCATGTTAAACCGGGGCTGGTGTAAATACAGAAGAAAGGCAATCTCCAAACAAGTAGGATGGTCATAGATGACAAAGCATTTGATGGTCATTATGGCATAAAGAACATTTGACCTATTATTTTCTCTTGCTCTTTGGCACTGGCAAAAGCAAGGTAGGCAAATGAGCATTGGTTCATCTTAAACAACAGGACTTAGCAGTCTAGGAAGACTGTCTTGAAAAAGTTCAACATATATTCCCTAACTCATTCAATCCCTGTGAAAACGGGTCTCCTCTTTCTATACCAACATATGGGCAAGTGGAAGTCATTGAACAAAGCAATGACATTCTTAACCACCTGAAAGACAGCATCATCCAGCACAAAACAGAAGATGCTGACTGAAAACTACAGAGAAAGACTCATACAAAGAAGAAAGCTGAGGAAGAATTATCACTGTGCAGACTCTCAACCCGAAATGAGCATTTCTGTGTAAGGCTGCACCTCACCATGTGAGCACACCTAGAGGCCCAACCATTTTCTCCTGTTGAGGTCTCCTCCTTCACACCATTACATAGCATGGATCTACTCTCACACACATGATGTGCAAGAACTAGAAGTGTCTCACGTGTACACTCTATCTCAGTACAGTTAGTTTTTAAGATTCTAGCATAACACTAAATATTCCTGGCTACAGAATTTGATTCTATATTTAGAAACATGAAAGCTTTCATCAGTATTTCAGCATTTACAAAAACTCCCTCATAGGCATATTTCATGTATTTAATTTTACTCACCTTGCCGGATTTTAGTGGGACTGATTTTTTTGATGGCAAAAGACTAGTAGCTCGACTATACCTGCTGTAAGAGACAAGATCTCTTTAACATTCAAATGTCTCAGCAACTAATAAATGAAAGATGTTTTCAATAGGGTGTTAATGTCACTTGCTTTTGCAATTTTAATATTTAAAAAGAGAAAGGCAGAAGTGTCACCAGACTAATTTCCAAGAACAAGGCCTCCAGTTAACTCATTCAGGTGAATGCTATTAAATGCTACATTTGATTTCAAAGAAAACTTGGGGAAATGGTTTAGAAACACAAAACACTCATTACTTCCACTGAAGCACTAATAAAGATTCTTTCTTGCAGAGACAGCTCTGCAGATTTCTCTTAGCAGCAATTTCGAAGCTCCAGGGATGTAACTGGACATAATCTACCCTTGCTTTATGCAACTGAAGCAATTACAAAAATTACTGCAATTTAACAGCCATTTCAAATATTAATTTTGTCAGTGAGTTAAAAAATATGAGAAATTTGCAAATTTTGCACAGCTTAAATGCTGGAAATGAGCTGAGCTTCACTGTCAAGCAAAATCAGTTTTCACTTCTACCACAGAGACCACTTTACCAATTTCTGTGACAACTATCGGAGAATGCTCCTGACAGAGGTACCTGACTTTGCTCTCTTCACTGACAGTTGACTTTAAACTGCTCATCCGCTTCAGCCTGGCCAGTTTCCTGTTCCACTGTTCCAATTCTTCTATTCTGACTTCAAGATTGTTGGTTAGTTTACAGAGCTGCTTTACAGCACCAACGTTCTCCATAAAGATCTGATCCTGAGAAGCAAAACAATGACAAAAATAGATGCTGTATATTCATCAATCAAACGTAACTAGCAGTAATGAGTACAGAATTCACTTACGTAAGGATACATTGAATATTTGCAATGCAAACACAAGTCATCTCACCGTAAACGGGATGCACTTTTTACTATAAAACCCTTTTGCCACATTGTCAAAATTGCCTATGTTCTATTTGCAGTAAACTGAAACTGAGGACTTGCAGAAAAATTTGAGGAAGCTAAAGGGCTTTGTAGGCTAAGAATTTAAACTATATTTTACCTTCATACTGTGTTGAATTTTAAACCTTAACACTGTCAAAACACATATTTGATTTGTAGCTGAACATAGATTTCAGAATCCCTTAGCAAAATGTACATCCAACTATCTACCCACAGCACTGACTAACCTGGCTCAGACAAGCCAGAGTTGCTATCCACGTTGTGCACAGAGCATGAATCACACAGGAATCAGAGAGACAGGGAGAGATCCAAACAAGGGGTCAAGCTGTGATGGTATGATATTTTGTTCTCCCCTTAAGCCTCTCCAGCCTCACATTGTTTTCTTTTAAAGGTAACTGCATTCCAGAAAGACACTACTTTGTATAAACAGAGCCAGAGCACAGGTATCAGTGGTAAATTGCAAACTTCTCTACTGCCAATAGCTTCTTTAACTAAAATTGACTTCAAAATAACCTCCTGCGCCTAAAACTGTGAAATCATTTATACGGTCACTTGTGCTCATATCAATGATATGTAGCAGCTGCCCTTTCCATTCTCTTCAAATCCTGCATGAATCTCTTCTAGGTGACTTCAACTAGCCGAGGAAATGGCTCATCTGGTAAAATGAAAGAATACTTTGGGGAAAAAAGGACTGATGAGATGTTTACTGCCTCACTGATGACTAAGTACTGAGCACAGTGAGCTTGAGAAAAGAAAGATTCCTCTCCCAGAATAGTTAATTCCCGCACAGTCGAGACATTTCTCTAGAATGTAGCAGAGCCTGGCTCAAATAAGTAATACAATCAATTAATTTTACAGCGTTTGACAATGCCAAACAGGTAACTGACAAAGAGACACAACCAAACCAGCCAATATCCTGCTTATCTGAAATTAAAGTCAGAGTCTGGGATAACAAAGTTCAATGCCTCCTCACCTGCATAACTGTAAGCAAAGATAGGAAGTACTGTGCATTCACAACTCAAGGTGCTGAGTTATTCTGGAGTTGGGAGCTCCAGATATTTAGAGCAGGTATTTCCACCTGGAACATTAGATGTGCCAAAGCTCTGAATCCAATATACATCCTCAACTGTAAGACACAGATGTCTCGTGCCCCCGTCTCCCCAAAGGTCACCGAATTGGCATTCACATGCTCTGTCACAAGTGTTAAGAGAAAGTTGAGAAAGCACAGGTTGCACCACAGCAATTTACCTAGCCAAATTAAAACAATGTCACAGTGTTTGTGAAGTGATTCAGACCCAGCCAAGTAGCCAAGAAAAAGCAAGTAGTAAACAAACCGTTGCTCTAACAACTCGTTTCTGCTTGGGCCACATCCACGTCATCCTGCAGGGTGCAGAGAGCTTCCTCCACTTGCTAGGTCACATCCCTAGAGCACATCCTGGCAAGCACTGTCCAGAGACTCAGGGAACACGATGGGAGAAAAAGACAAAAAACCCGACTATCCAAAAGCAGTTTTGTGGGGGCTCAAAAATGGAAATGATGCTGCAGCTGTCACACAATGTAACAGGAAGGGTTAAAGGGCAAAATGCACCTAGTGTCAGTATCTAACACCACTGCTCTTCTATGAGCATCTGGAAATAAGCTACAGGCTGGAAACCTGACCAAATACAGCAAATTTTCCAAAAGTCTCCATTTCAACAGTACCTCTGGAAAGTGCTCTTCCCACAGCTCTATTCAAGGTGTCTAATCCATGCTTGCTTTCTATTGAACACAGCCTAACAGATTTAACCTATGAATTTAACTTATTCATAACCTACAAAAAGAAGACAAGTGAAACACAATATTTTTAATAGATATTTTCTCCAAGTTTGGTGGTGAAAACTCATGTTTTCTATAGAATAAGGAAAGAATGCATGGTTATAATGAATACGGGATCGTGTTCATTACATCATCCAGACAAGACAAGATCACCGATCTGTAAAACCTCCCTTTTCCCATTATCAGCTGTAAGCAGGGAAAAGCTGGGAAGTGGTCATTGACCTGCAGGGAATCAGTGCACAGCAGAGGGGCTGCTCTGAGCAATGCTCTGGACAACCGCTGTCTGCAGCCGTGTGTTACTGGGCTCTGTGACTGGCAGCCCCTTGCAGTCGTATTTCTACAGGAAAAGTAGGGGAAAGGAGCACAGGACAACAGACTGAGGCATTGTTTCCAACCTATAAGCACGGTAATTACTTTGTGTGACATAAACATTTTATAGTATATGTTTTTGAAGCTATAATAAGGATTTCAGATGGCCAAAAAAACCCTTCCCACAGAGCACAGAGCTAGCACTGTATTTGGCATGAAGTGATTGCACCAGGATTAGAGCAAGGAAGTTTTTATTTAACAAGTAGAATGACATCAGTGCTTAATTTATTTCTGGAACACTTAATTACCTTAAACAGAAATGAATGTTTTGGAGTCTCACTTGTTGGACCAAAGCTATGAAATCATGATCCACCTTTATTCAGCAAAGTCAGGTTTTATTCCCATTTCTCTTTTATTGTGTGTTCATTTTTATAATGAGATTTTACTGTAAATACTTTTTTTGTCATTATAAGATTCTACCATTTACTAACACCTGGTGGTTCAGTGTTTCTCAATAATTTGTCAAACACTATTTTTATAAGCAAATGAGCAGGCCTACATCTTTGTATGAAGCATAATGTGTGTTTATAGCTCCACATACAAAAGGAACAGTGTAAATACACACCTCCACTTTCTCTCTCAAGACCATACCTTGTCAACCATGAGGAAGTTTTCTATTTTTTCTCCATCATTACAAGCAACATCTCCAACTTCTCTAACAGCTTGAGGCAAAAGCTCCTTCACTTCCTGGGCTATTATTCCTGTTCACAATATAACAGAAAATAAAGTCAGGCAACACAGTGGCATACTGTTGACCATATTTGTATGGTTTGAGTTGCTCATCATAAAAGCTAGAATAGGTAGGGTCAAACATGCTCCAGAATTTCTCTGTGGTAGGAAAATCCAGGATTTCATTTTTTTTTCCATTCCACAGAAACAAACAGAAATCTTTAGAATTCCCATTTCTCTGCAATAAGAACAAAATAGTTTGTGATCACATACTTCACTCTCATTAAACTTCTAGGGGAAAAAACAACCCTCCTATCTTTAAAAATGCAAAGAGAAGTTGGAAAATTACCAGAAAGACTTGATTTTGGCATTTTTATATCACAAGAGAAACACAGCAAAGCATGCAATTGTAGCATTCTAAGAAATTAGGATGAAGTAGCCCGGTGTTAAAAGGCACTATGGTACAATGTACAACAGTGGAAGTTCATGAAAAATGAGAACAGAGCTGACTGAATACCTGTTTCATGGGTATCTTTTATTCCCATAACAGATGCAAATTCAGGCTTGTAGTCATACTCCACCAGCCTCATTTGTGTTATTCTCCTCAACTGCTCATTTGTGTCGACCTAGTTGGACGAATACCAAGATTCATATGTTGAACCATTAAGAATGGTCATGGCATCTAGGACATTACTGCGATAGCAATAAGCCTGACATGGCCACTTGGTCAATCTTCACATCGAAAAATACGGACAATCCTCCCCTTCTCCATTAGCAGAGTGCTATTTGTATTTGTATTTGTACTTGTACTTTTACTTGTACTTGTACTTGTATTTGTACTGTCAGCTACTCTTCAGTCTGACAACCCCCATCCACACAGATATCCCCATCTCCTATGGTCAGCCTCTTCCAAAGTCCATAGGCGATGACTCTACAGAGAACAGTGGCACACCCAATTTCTTTAGGCCAGCATTTCAGAACACCCGGGATAAAGAAGCTGCTTCACGTGTCAGAACAATGATCCACACATGTGCTGTGGTGCAAACATAAATGCCCTAAATACTCCACAGCCCTCACCTCCCGGATATTCTGTTTTGCTCGGCTGTCAGATGGATGCATGACTCTGCCCATAACTTTTGCATTTCCGCAGACAACCAGTGCTTCATCTGGTGCATCTGTGTTAATTCCTACTCGACCATGATAGACTATCGTCTCTGGAACATGTCCTCGCTGCCACAGTACATCACTGTCATTCTCAAACTGCCCTGGGTTAGACGCCTGGGAGAAAAAATTATGTTTAAAGATATAGCGTAGCATAGATGTACTATTGCTTATTCCATTAGAAATTCAGGGAAAATGAAATGCCAAATCTTTAATATTTAAATTGTATTCAAGAGATTTTCTAACACACCAACAGAAAAAACAGTGGAGCCACTTCTAAGTGTTTCTACTTGCACAGCATTGATCCCATTGCTATTTCCCTTGAATTCTATTTTATTATCACCTTAAGCTAAATTATCAATGTCCAAAGCTTTCCAAATTTTAACTTTGACATTACACTACATAACCATTCTTTATTTACCAGCAAATTTCAGCTGAGGCTAGAAATCAGAAAAGAGGAAACAAGGCAGAGATTAAAATGTTTGGTTTTGGCTTTGGTTTATTTTTACATATGCTTTGGCCATATCAGTTTCTTTCTTTTACATGCTGTTTCACAAACTTTTCCAACATGTATTGGAAGCCTGTGCTGAATAGATCAGAGGTGATCTTGGCTTGCGTTCACAGGCCTTGTTCTCCTTTTTTTCCACGATCATCGAAACATCTGCTGGAGAGCAATGACCATGGAGGAGGTCAGGGTTTTTAGAGCTGAAGTTTACTTTTCAGGCCCATTCTATTTCCTGCAGCCGTTTTGCAGCAATGTCACACAGAAAACCACCTCAGCACAACTGATGGAGTGGACAACTGTGGTGCACCGAGAGGAAAAGCACCCAAACCATGTCTCAGGGCCATAGCTTGATGTACACTTCTGGCAGGAGAACCAGCATAGGCAGCCCACTCCCCAACACAGACAACATTGGACGAACCAGCCTGACAGAAAAGTAGCCAAGCACAAAAATTATAGCTATTTCTAACCCACTCCTGTTTATTGCAGGTCCCTAAAAACACAGTTGCACCAGCACAGCTGAGGAGGAGTGTGGGAACAGGAGTGAGAAGCCGGATAAGAGCAGAACTGAGTCAAGTTTTGTTCATTCAGTGCTGCATCAAAATGAAATGTCGAACAAACTATGGCCCAGGAAATACTTGCCTCAAAAAGAAAATAGAATAAGATATTTTTCATTTATTTGTGATTTTGGACTGTCACTGCTTAATGAAATGCGCAGGAACAAAATCACTTTCTAATAGTAATTTCTGCAAGTCACAGCTACCACATGAATTTTGTTTTTACTCAGTGACTGAGATATTGAAGCAAAAATTACATTAAAATTATGCTTGCTAGGTTCCAGGGGCCTATGAAGTCTAAAAATAACAGTTTCTAAAGAGGTGACCATCTGGAAAAAAAAAATTACTACTATCTAGTTAATGAAATCTAATTTTGACTGAAGGATCACAAAATAAACATATTCATGAATTCCCGAAAATCCTCCATAATGTTTAAATTAACTCATATTATGAATTTCAAGTTAAGTAAACAGGGTCTTTCAAAGAACACCAAAAAAAAAACCCAACAGTGTGTACACAACTAGAAAAGACATTTGGTTTCAAGAATTAATTTTGCTAATTTGTTCTTTTTTATACTTTGAATTCAGGCTTTAAAATTTGAGTCTGAACAAAAGCCTGATGACGAGAAAAAGTTTGCACTCATTTAAAGAAGCCAGGATTTCACAAGGCTTTGCCATCTGCAGTCCGTGGTGCTGTGCACTTACCACTGTTTGTCACAATTAGAGCATGATCTGATCTGCCTGATAACCCCTGCTCAGCCAGTGTTGCACTGCATTGTGTTGTGTTGTATTTTGTTGTGTTATGTTATATGTTATGTTATGTTGTGTTATGTGCTTTGTGTTGTGTTGTGTTAGGATATGTTATGTTATATGTTATGTTATATGTTATATGTTATATGTTATATGTTATATGTTATATGTTATATGTTATATGTTATATGTTATATGTTATATGTTATATGTTATATGTTATATGTTATGTATAAAGGGCCAGAACATGAGTTGCTTTCTCACGCAGTGCATTTTCACAGCTTTGCCACTTTAAGGTAACCAGTGGCTGGCTCACTGCTTCCCTGTCAGACATCTGGAAAATGACTTTTGTTTTCTTTCCAGCTTTCCCGTTGACATTTTCAACACTTCAAATCACAGCCTCTCGATCCTTCTGCTTTTCTGCCTTCCTCTTCCTTTGTCTGGAATAGTGGTCAGGTTTGCAAAAATCTCATTCCCTGAATTCCTACTAAAAAACTGTCCCACACACATCAAAGGAGATCTCTTCATTGACATTTCAAAAAAAGCTAACATTACAAAAGGTCAAAAAAAGTAAATTTGTAAATCTTAGATAAAAATATGTATCTTACAAGGTAACAATAATCCCAAGGATAAGTCAAATGTGAAAATTCAATGGCTTTCCCAAATTAGGAAATAGGTGATATTTGTAACACTGCTAGATGCAGAAACAGAAATTCAGCAGTAGTGTGAAAATTAATGGACAAAAAAGAGAAAATAACTAAATATGCAGGAATTATACAAATACAATATTTAGTGTCCTGAAATAAATGAGCCCATAGCAGTGGTCAGGATGATAAAACTTCTCCGCAGAGCACAAAACTACTGAACACCAAACACTGCTTTCAAAGCCCTTTCACAGCTCCACTCAAAAAGGAGCTTTCAGCCATATTGCCCTCCAAAAACCTAACTGTAGCTGCTACACGAGGGTTTTCTGTTTTGAAACCTATATTACAACCACCAAATTAAGAGCTGGAATGCTCTGGAAACTCAATGGAAAGGGCCAGCTATGAAGTCTTAATCTTCCTAGAGCTGCTTTCCTTGCATATTTTTCCCTTCTTATCCTCCTTTGAAAATGAAGCATCTAGCCAATGAAAGCATTTACCAAATTTCTGGCAAGTGCAGGAAATTGTTTCACCTCAAAGAAAAAACAATCTGGAAAAATCAAAGTATTTTGTATTGGAAGTCACAACAAGTTTTCTGTTTAAATTGTTCTATAGCTCCACCTTTAATATTTTAAAATCACAATAGTTAAAAGATAACAACATACTCATCAAATATGCAACTGTATTTTTTTCCTCAATCTTTTTCAGTCTGTGGTAATTTTTATGCCCAAGAATCATCCCCACCATAGTCTCCTGTGAATATCAAAACAATAAATATTTTTCACATGAAAGCAATATAAATTTCTACCTACCCTCACAATGATCTTTTCAGAGACATTTGCAGACAGTAGGTAGAACTGGTCCTGAGAGACAGCATACAGTCCAACTACCAGCATGAAGTATCTAATTTGAAATTGATTTGATCGAGACAATAATTGAAGTAATGTCTTCTCACAGAAAAAAATTAAATGTTTTAAATACAGCTGCTATTGTTGATACATAAAAAGACAGCCAGAACATTTTAAAAATGTATTTGTTACAATACGAAAGAAATTTCCTTCCCTCTCAAGTAATATGTTCTTTCAATCCTCACAATCACTGAATATGAACAAAGATCACAGTAATTTCGACAAACTTAAGTAATGAAGACTCAAAGATGAAGACCCTTCAGAAGAAAGTTAGCATTATTTGGGGTTTTTTGGCTCCCTGATTTTGTCAGCCATCATTCTGGCTATGATTCCCTGAAATGATCTCTAACCTTGAGGAGGAGGTATTTTCTTTTATTCTGGTATCATTCTGTGACTCCAGAAGATAGGCCTTTAAGCAGATACCAAGTGGCATTGAATTTGAAATAAAATCATAGAAATTGAAATAAAATCACAGAATTGGCAGGGCTGGGATTTTTCACAAACATCAGCTCCATTCTAAAGCAGACCAAGTCGACCTCTTTTCCACTTCACACACGCAGGCCCACTCGCTACAGCAATACCTCTGGTCAGGATTAGGTTTCCCCTTTTTTCTCATATTATTTGCTGTTGTTTCACTGAAATGCAACCTTCCCAGTGTTACTTTCGTTACTTGGTCCCCTGGCAGATCAACTCTAAAACAGAAAAGGAAACGAGATCAGGGAAATAAGCATTTGGAGATCTACCTGGCTCAAGCCAGATTTCCTCAAACTCATTAAAACAGTTCCCAGAAAAACTGACAAATGGAAAAAAACAGAGGAACCCCAGCAAAATTGCAGTAACCCTGGTTTATAAAAATGCATTAAAACACAGTGACTATGTTAGAGAGATAAACAGGATAAAGCACTAGCAGTGGGAAACTGTTCTTGGTAATAGGAGTCTTGTGTTTCTTCGCCTGTTTGTACATGGTCTTGAACATAATAAAATCGTATGTGTTCCATATGATGGGTATTTGTTGCTTGCCAAGGTTAAGATTGCTTAATATTAGAACTGAATTTCCACATTAAAATAAATAAATTTTACTGCTTGTTCTTTTTTTTCCACTTGCACCTAATTTGTAAGTCTGGAAGTACAAAACATACACCTATTTCTGAAATACAGTGACAATGCTCCTGTAAGTGATAATATGAATAAAGAGTTTGTATGGAGAAAACCACCAGCTACCGAACAGTCACTCATGAAACAATTTACACACATCCAGAAGATATTTGTCAGGATGCAAAGGGAAGAAAAATGCCATGACAGAGGTAATTTAGTGAAAAACAAGCTCTTCTCCCAAGCTCAAAGTTCATTTTTGCAGATTTCATATTGCAGCTTTATCCCAACAGTGCCCTGTCAAACTTGACACTGTCTTATCTTTTTCTGTGTAAAGGCTTATTTAATTATTTATGGAGAACAGAACAGCTCCAACAGAAGACACTTATGTCAGAAGAGCAAGCATTGGTTCTGCCAGTGAGTTAAGACGCAGAAGAATGGCAGAGAGTTGCAGGGAGAAGCTGCACGTGTGCTTCTAGCAGGGACGCTCCCCCTTAAAAGCACTGCAAAAACATCTCATGCCCATGTAGGGCAGGAACATTACTGGCTTTTTTTATTTTAAGATGGGAAATGCATCTGCCGTACAGCTCTAAACACCATTCAGCAGTGTTGCTAGCCAAATATAAATATTTTGGATAGGTATACTTAACACAGTCGTAAAGCTGCTGAAAATTTTCCTCAATGAAGGGAAACCAGGTATGTATTACTACTGTGATTCTATGTGCACACCCAGAACGAAATTTGGACAAAGATCAGAAAACTGGCTTAGAGCTGCTATAAGTTTCCAAGGAACAACTACACATTTCAGACCAATCATGTATTGAAATAAAACGGAATAATTTACTCAAAATTCTTACTTAACAGGATGGAAAGTTTTTTTGCTTCGATCTGACTGAGACTGTTCAATAGCCACTGTTTGATTAGGAGCTTCCCCCTATAAAGAAAAAATAATTTTCAAAAATGACAGGAATATTAAATTTTCAAACACATAAAAATTGAAATAGATATTAATAGGGAAACGGTGTCTGAAACAGTGAAATCTCTCTCATTTCTCATGGAACTACATAAAAAGCAATGTGGGAATTGACTCCTGATCAACTGACACCTGCCAGCTCATCTGAAGCCCCAAATCATTCTGTGGATGTAATCTGAAAGGAAAAAATTTGCAAAGAAAAATTGCTTTCTGAATCTACACTGTTATTGGCTCATTCTACCCCAAAGCATAAATATAGATATTTAACATGAGAACTGAATCTATGCAAGGTAGGTCAAAAAGTTATTTTAGTGCCAATTTTTGTACCTTTCTGGAATGGTGCCAAGCAGCACTTTGCTTCAGATGGGAACAGATGACAGTAAATTCACTGATTCCTTCTGCATTAGAATGCATTAGGCAAAACTGGTCGTAACTGCCTTCTGAAACAGCTACATGCATTTTTTTTTTAAATCACTGCATTTTGGTAGTAAGTAAAAAACCTGCTAAAATCTTTCAGAAAGATTAACATTTCTTACTTCTTCTGTATATGCAAACTTGTGGACCCATATTGGCTGGGAAGAATTTGGTTCTTAAAATGAAAATAGAAAGCCTGACAAGAAGAAATGGGGAAATTTTGTTGGTTTTCCACACGTGAACTGTTCAGGAAAAACAGATTTTATTAATAGTCTTTGCTTTGTGAACTGCTTTTTTCAATACATCTTTTTGACCAATGGGTAGACAGGTGACCTACACACCAGCTGACGTCCCTGCACTGCCCACAGAGGGAACAAAATTTCAGTTGAAAGGAGGAAAGTCAGTGAAACCACGGCAAAAAGGCAAACAAGACGTCTTTCAGCATATAGTAGCACAGATATCCATAAAACCACTTTTTTTTGCAAAAGATTTCCACACAGAAGTAACTTGTAATTTAACAGAGTTCTCTTTTGTCAGTGTTTGGTCAAAAATTACTAAGAAAAGAGTTAATTTCAATTATTCACCTTATTCTATGTATAATCACGTACTAACTTATTAAAAGTAATAATCACAAAGAGATAAATACTTGCCTTTATTCCAAAAGCTTTCAAGTAAAACTTTTCTATTGGTTTCCCCCCCAGCTGCGTTTTGACATATTTTGGATGACCAGTGATTCTAATATGGACTGTGATTTGGAAATGATTCTTTTTCTGGCACACAAAGGCATCATCTGTTGCTGAAAAATTAAATCCTTTATCTGTGACAATGTGATATCCTACAGTGGGTCTACAAAAACAAGAAGAAAGAATATCAACTTTAGGTACAGGCATATTTGAGTGACATCTTGAGTTCCTACTTTTTTATATGGTCTGAAAATCCATCTGATTTTTACTGACAAAATGGGAGCTGAAATACATCTTTGCAATCACCAGTTCTACCAGTACTTTTTTCTTAGCCTCTCAGAGGCGTAAAAATGAAAATGCATATAAAACATACTCTAACTCTAGGCTGACACATGAAAGGTTTGGAAACCAGAGATGGAGAAGCTTACATAATCCTCACTTACAAATCTGGTATAAAAGAACTCTGTGCACCTAAAAGCACAACCAAACCTTTTAGTGTATTCAAGCATTCATTATAACATTGCTAGAAAAACCAGAGCTGAATGAGCACTGCAGACAGCAACGTGCTAATGAGCCAGCGAGACTCCCTGGTTTGCTCCTGAATTCCCACACCAAGTGCTCCTGCAGAAGCTGCTGGGATTCAAATAAGGCTTTGCTCAAGCTAGAAGAAAAGCTATTGATACCAACTCTCTGGCCAGATGACTGTAAAACTCTCCTTTATAATGTTGTCCATCCGTCCACGAGTAAGGAAACCCTATTCTATTTATTCAAAGGGCTAATTTGTCACCCGGAGAGAAAGAGTATTCTGTCCTTATGATTCACAGCAAACAAGGAAAGGTATCAAAAGATCTTTCTAAATGAGCCAGTGAACTCACCATCCCAACAATGCTTCCAGTCCTCTGATTTAAATGATGGATAATTCTAAAATAATAGGACTACATGGCAAGGCTCTCTTATGCGGGCACTGGCTTTTCTTGCTAATGAAAGTTTGATAATGATGATCTCGGCTGATGCTACTGAGAACCTCTCATTAACACAATTACTGAAGATGGCTTTTCAGAACTCACCCATTCGCTTGCACATTATTAGTTGGAAAAATCAAAATGTCCAGACTTTACAAGAAACATACAGACTTTGTTATCTTTTTATAAATTATGAACAAAAGGCCCCTTTTAAACAGTCACTGATTATCTGGGACAGGGAATAAAGAGGAAACTGTAACTGCTTCAGAACTACTAAGTCATACATTAATTCATACTTAAAATTATAATGAAGTGTCTACCATCTCCTCAAACCATCACTATTAAAGAAGTAAAACTTCTTCAGGTTCTTCCTACAACTGCTAATTCTTTTTACTTATGCAGGAAATGTCTGTATCTCATAGTA